GACATTTCGAAAAACATTTATAGCTCTTTACGAAAAATTTCTATAAATCGTGATCGTTGGGGACCTTCTAAGCGATCCCTGGTCGAGTGCCGGATCAAACCCTTCGAAAATCTGATCCAAAGCTTTTTAGGCAAATTAATAATTGAATATATCTACGCAATAAATAGTAGATGAAATCTCATAGGCTTTTCGTGGACGAAAAGGAGTAACAGTAAAGCTACGTTTCCATCTAATCAAGTTGCACGCAGGAGAAATTTATTTTAAAGTAAACATACACACCTTGAAGCAAAAACATTTGGAACAGATAATCAGCTTATTGAATTGTGTGTTGTCTCGACTAACTAACCAGCTGCGTACGATCATTGTCTGATGTAATGTGAGCATGGTGGAGGTAATTAGTCATCGTTTTAGTGCCCATGTATACACAATTATTACACGTCCGACAACAACTTGAGCAAATACAAGCTGACTTAATCATATTTACTCTGTCTCCGAAATGAAAACATGTTCTTCCAAGACCGGGAAATATTTGAGAAACGGTACATAAATGCATACAACCATCTTAAATATTTAGAATATATGTTTTTATTAAAGAATGGAGTCATTCAATCCCAGAACTTTAGGTAAAAACAAACTAGAATTAGAAGAATTTTGAACCAACGCAACGTCTAGATTTGGTTCAGTCGTACCGGTCACACATTTGAGTGATCAAATGGTCAAAGTTAATCTTCATTAACTAAACAAATCAAAACTAGAGCACTATTTTATATCTACAGAATTATGGGATAGTTGAAATCTTAAGCAGGTACCAAACAAAAATGTTGAGACAGTATTTCTAAAAACCGTTGTTCTATTAGATTAATGGGTACAAGTGAAACGATCGATGTTTTGTATACCACTCATAGCCTTTGATTAGCCTTTGATTCCAAAAAATAATACGATGAAACACAGCTGATTTCGGCTGTATCCAGCAAGTTCTGCTACTTTTATGTAAACCCAGCAGAAAAATCGATTTTCAAAAAAATATAGCAGACTCAATTTTTTATACCTGCTTCGGCCTTTAACCCAGATTTAACTAAAGTCAAACTAGAACCTTTTCAAATGACTATGATGAAATTTTCTTCAAAATAGACAATTTAAAGTAGTTTTCATAAATATTCTTTAACGTTTGCAAAGTAAAATGAAGGTGTGGAATTGCGTGAACCTATACAATAATTTGTTAATTTAGAACATACTGATATGAATTCATATATTCTCTTCTCTACTTTTAATTATTTATCTCTACCATAAAAAATTTATAAACATGCAATTTAGGCTTTTCTAACCTACTGAAGAGGCCACCTGCCGCCATAATTATTGATACTTCAAAAATAGACTATTTCAGTACAATACCAATGACTCACAAATCAATGCAGCTCATAATACTGAATGTGATGAGAAACACAGATCATTTCGGCAGTACCCAGCACGTGTTGTTACTATTATGTTAACCTGGCAGAAAAATCGGTTTTCAAAAGAACAAAACAGAGTCAATGTTTTATGCCTGCTTCAGCCTTTAACCCATATATAACTAAGCTCAAACTAGAACCGTTCCAAAAGAGTATGATGAAATTTTCGTCAAAACGGCCGATCAAAAGTAGTACATATTATTTAATGTCTGCAAAGTGAAAGAGTGGCATGGCATTGCCTAGTTATTTGTATAATAATTTGTTAATTTAGATCAAATTCATATAAATGTATACACGTTCTTTTCTACTTATTGTCTAGTTCTTTATATCTACCATGGAAAATCTATAAATATACAAATCAGACTCAAGAGTCCACCTGATAGCATAACCACACGGATTTAATAAATACACTATTGCAGTACAATGCCAATGACATAAATCAATGCAATCTGCAATACTAAGTGCTTGGCAGACACTCGCTGTATATTTATTTGTATATAGTCCATACATACAGTCTCCCATCTCCCAAAACGTAGACTTTTTATAACTTTTAAGACGTAGTTAGAAAAATATGCATTTATTTATTTATCTCATGGCGTTGTAGACTAAATAAATCTACTAAATATTACCATTTGAACCCTTTTTGTGATGAACCACAACGCCTTCGAGTATATTTTGTATGTACATTTCTCTTTGTGCTGGTGAGTGTATCCAATCGAATAAAAACCTTTTATAATACTGCGACACACCACGCTATTATTATTTATGAAAAATCGAAAGTTTATAATACTCATGAGAGTTCCCTATGCTAATGTCTATGAGAAAAAGTGCGCGACGAATTGAAAAATTCAACACGCGACGGTTTTCTTATGCTGCCAAGTTTACAATGAGATATTTCGGATTAAATTACTGCTAGTTATATTATACATTCCCAAGTGGCGTTTGAAGTAATGTATTCAGCATAGTAATTTTATTTCTTCTATGTATTGTAGGTTCGTAAAGAAAATTTTAGGAAAAAATGTGTAGTTGGCAGTTTCCATTTCTGGTGAATATATACTGTATTAGAGACGAATTACACCTCCCAAAAATGTTGAGCAAGGTTCCAGAACTTCTTAATCCTTAATACCATACCTTTTAACAGCAAATCAAATGTTTCGTGCATACTTGATGCTGAAAAATAGGAAACTCCTGTTTAAATCGCCTGGAAGGAATTAGAAAACTTTTTTAAAAAACAATTTCAAGAAAATTGCACTAGACTGTTGCGGTTGTGAACAATTTTAGGCACAAGAGACTTATTCTCTAAAAACGTTTCTTGTTTTGTAGTACTTCCCACGCCCACAGTCGAGGAGGTATTCTAATTGGTTTGGATGAAATTTTTACACAAGGTTACTACTATACCAATCACGATAAGTTTTTAAAATCGGTACAGAGGCGGCGGCAAAAAAGGATAAAAACGAAAAATTAAAAAACGCTGTTTTGACGGTTCAGAGGATCCTGATCATTTTTGAGAAAAATGTTAGTGGTGAAAAATTGAAGAGGTTGGAGAAAGATATATCTCAATTTTTTGATTTAGTATATTTATACGTTCCCAATTCTACGCACCTGTTAAGTCATAGTTCACAAATCATAGATTTCCCCGTACGTTTGCCATTAAAGCTTGATAGAAGTGTCTTCGTACTCTTGTCCCCCCGACGGCGTGTCGTTCTTGGTGAGTGTTCAGGCATGGCTGCGTCTGGCCGGGTTAGGTGTCGGCGAGAGGCGACGTTGAAAGATCGACTACTTACTGGTAAGGCAGGGCAAGAATGTCTATGGAGTAACTGTATACACCTGTTTGACTGACTAGATCCGTTCAATTTCCCTGTTATACGGGTGATTCTCTGTAAAGTCGTAAATCCCGGTCCATGTCTGATATTCAATTGAGTATTGTTATATAAAACATAAAGGATGCTTATACAATAAGTTTAACAATATGCCTTCCTTGTGCGATTGATATAATATTGGTAATAGTTACACTTTATTTTTTATATGCTCCCAAATATCATGAAACACAGTCCCCTGGGCTGTCCCATTCCTATGATATCCACTTTGTGATATTATTTTCAATGGATTTATGAATGTCATGCTATGTGGCCAATTGTCCTTTGAAAATGAATAAACCAAATTATGACAATTCTGTCAAATGATACTATAATTTAAATTTATCAAGTTTCTAAAATGTGTGTAATTTTGTCCACAGTACCCTGTACAAATCTCTAACCTCAAATAAAAGATGTTTGCGCCGGTCTCAAATGGTATTCGGCATTAAACGGAACGCACCTATGGTCAAGGTCGCTCCACTGCAGCAAGCGACTGCGCAGCGCCATTTTGGTTAGTATTAGCGCGTCGTTTCTTGTGAGAGCACGTGTCAGGGCCGTTACAGCACACAGTCCTCTGGTAAGTATTAAAGTTTATAATATTCATAATTAACCATATATGTATTATGTATTGCTCCTATAATTCCTGTGTTGAGTGATCAGTTGTCGTGAAATTGAATCCCTAGCAGCTGTTTCGTTAATGTTGAATGATTTAATCGAAATACACAGTCCCCTGGCAACAGTCCCCTGGCCTCCAAGATGCCAGGGGACTGTAGCCCATTCCAGGGGACTGCTGATATCAGTTCTCTGTTGATATTTTGCAGTCAACGCTATTATATGTATCGCACTAAACATAAGAATTTTTTACAGATGGCTTCGAAAAGGAAAAAGTTATCCAGAGAAGAAATATTACAGAAAAAGAGGGAAGCTGAACGTTTGAGGTACCAACGAAAAAAGAATGACCCGCAAATGAGGGAAGAAATGCGAATAAAGGAGAAGTTGAAATATGAAAGAAACCTGCTCTTTTACAACGTGATGCCGAGCGGATTCAGATGATACAAAACTCATGCATCAGATTTTCTTATGGAATCCGTAAATTTGATCATATTAGTAGCGCTTTTGACCAATCGGGATGGTTTAAGATGAACGAATTGAGGAAACTGCATTGCCTATCTCTGGTACATAAGACCCTTATCCTTAAAGTGCCATATTATCTTTATACAAAACTAAGCCTCCTCTGCCAGTACGATCAAAGATCCTCTAGGAATAAACTCATCTTACTTATCCCGCGGCATTCGACAGCATTGTTCACACGCAGTTTCTCGTACTGGGCACCCAAACTATATAACTGCTTATCAAGTGAGTATAAAGAATATAGCCTAAGCAATTTTAAAAAAAGGTTAAAGATGAGTTTAAAGCAGTCGGATGGCTAAAATTTTACTTTATGCATATCCACAGGTAATTGATTGTTTCCTTTCTCTGATAAGTGTTATATTCTAAGTTTTTTTTTTCTCTCTCTCTATAGTTTGTGTCAATGTTTTCCAGGTCGGGTTGAAAAACAGCATAAGCTGACACTCCACCTTTTCGTCACTGTTCCTTTTAAACCAATTATTTTGTAATCGTGTGACGAATAAAGGCCATTTATTATTATTATTATTATTATTAAAAGGAAAAAGGCTTGAGAAAATTAGCCAAAGACATGACTTCACGTGAACATAGGGCTGCCTTAAAAAAGTGGAGGGAGCATTGTGCTGCTTACCGGGCCAAACAAAAGGATGCGACAGTGGCTCTCAATACACCACGTGCAAACATGCTTTCATCTGATCAAGGGAGCCCTTGTTCATCTGCAGGATGCAACACTTCAGTTTCCATTGACTTTCCTAGTAACCAGATCCCTACGGTAACGGCTATCAATTCACATCGAAGAAGGCAAGCCAAAAAGCGGAGAGAAAAAGTGAATAAGGAAAAGGATGAGAAGATAGAAGCTCTAAAGAAAAAAGTAGATAAATATAGGAAAAGAATAACAAGATTACAAAATAGAAGTAAGAAAAATAAAGCAGACACACCCAACACTAAAATGCAGAAGATGTTGAATGAACCTGGAGGTAGAAAAGAAGTGGTTAAGAAAGCGTTGTTTAGCGACGTTTTAAATGAACAACTCAAAGAAAATTATTCAAATTTAAAATGTATTAAAGATAAACAAATATTTACGAAAGTCTTGTCTGGAGTTCGATTACAAAAGTACAGGCGGTGTATACCCAGAGACTGTGGTGTTTTGTATAGAGGTGTTCAGAGTACAAAACGTTACAATACTTTGACCGTGCCTGTGATACGGCGGATAAGAATACCAATAAGGTATTATAAGCAAGCTGTTCGGTCCTTTTTTGAAGATGACAGTAACAGTCGCATAGGAGCTGGGAAAAAAGAATACGTTACAAAACAGAATGTGAGAAAGCAAAAGAGATATCTTCTTGATACGATTCTTAATTTATACAAAAAATTTTTGGCAAATAACTTCAAGATTAGTTATCAAACATTCTGTCGGTTGCGTCCATTTTGGGTAGTAAGACCAAGTACACAAAATCGTGACACATGCTTGTGCGTAACTCACAGTAATTTGGACATGAAGTTGCGGGCTCTATATGATGCAAAGATAATTGCCTACAACAACTACCAGAAGTTACTGGAACAGCTATGTTGTGACCGGTATAATGAAAACTGCTTATCAAGAAGATACCTTCTTTGCAAAAATAGACTTCCTAAATATAAAGAATTCAACGATAAGAGAATCATAAAATATAAGATGTGGGTCCAAGAAAGACAAGAAATCATAGATTTAAAGACCAAAAAGCCAAAGATAGTGACAAAACACCTGAAAATGGTGTACAATGGACATCCCCGTCAAATAATATCACAATTACATACAGATTTAGAAAAATTCTTTGTACATCAAAGAAATATCATACATCAATACAGTGCTATAAATCATTTAAAACAAAATCTACAAGACGACGATGTCCTTATTCATATCGACTTCAGCGAAAATTATTACACAAAGTATGCCGAAGAGATACAAGCATTTCATTTCGGTGGATCTAGAGCGCAATTGAGCCTGCATGTACATTTCTTGAGCGATGGCCCCGTTACGCAATACCGTAACAAAACAATGTTCTTTATGATGGCAACCAAACTACCGCAAGATATTCCAGGTATAGAACAATTCACCTGGAACTATACCGAGAGTGGGCATGGGAAAGGTGCACCAGATGGAGTTGGTGCAACCTGTAAAAGAACTGCCGATTTTGTTGTAAATGCTGGTGGCGATATAAATAATATCGAACAGTTTGTACAATGTGTCCAAGAAAGATGCCCAAATATAACTTGCATCACAATCGACAGTCAAGATATTCAGGAAATGTCCAATAAACTTCAACAGGAGGCATTTAAGCAGAAGGGCTTCAAAGGCACGTTAAATGTGCTTCAAGTCACAGGGGTCTTTTCTAGCTCCATTTCTGACCTCCCAGCAAACTGTATAACCTTAACAATGAGGAGCCTCAGCTGTTTTTGCAACACAGGCATCTGTGAGCATTTTAAGATAGGTAACATTACTTATGACCTGAATCCAAGATTGAGAGTAGAAGATGTGTTTTCAGAATCGGATTCGGATAGTAATATAAATTTAAGCGAGTATAAGTCAAATATGCCTGTGAATGTCGTCAGTGATGAAGTCGCTGGAACTAGTGGTCGACAGCATTCATGTTATAGCACTGGAGACTACGTTCTTGTTAGATTTTTGGTAAAACATGTGGAGTATCGATATGCTGCCGTGGTTAATAAAGTCGACGAAGAGGAAAATGATTTGCGTGTTACATTTTTAAAGGTTTGTGATGACAAGGTTCAAACCTTTAAAATAGATGAAAGTGACATATCAGATGTATCATTTGACCATGTAGTTCAGAAGTTGGAGAGTGGGACCGCGGTTGGCCGCGTGGGTCAGAGTGTCGTGCTACTGATCAGCCGGCCGGCCGGGTCGCGAGTTCGAATCTCGCCTTCGCCATGGATGTTGTGACGTCGTGTGTTTGTACATAAATAGATATATTCTATATACAACCTAGTTTCTGGCTGCATGGCTTAGTCCTAAAGCCAAAAAAAAAAAAAAAAAAAAAAAAAAAAAGTTGGAGAGTCCTGATTTAATACTGAAAGGGAATCGAATATTTTACAAATTTGAGTCTTTGGTGAACGTGTATGAGAGATGATTGTTTCTTTCAAGTTACGAAGTCATCTGGCCGATACTCAGAGAATAGTTTTTTTTTAAGTTTTGTTTGTAAGTTCAGATTTATTTTGTAAACTACAACAATATTGCATATATATGTCGGTAGGGGCATTTTAAATGAATGACGGTGATCTTTTGTGATACTATTTTTATGACTACAAAACTACAAAATATCACATGGTGATGATGTTGAGTTTTTATATTTTCTGGATGTTCCATGCCTGGCTTTCTAATGAACCATCAAACGTATAAAAATGTTAGTTTTTCTATAAAAATTTGTGAGTGAAGTTTTATTTTGTTACTGTACTATCATAATAGTGTTAGTGAAGGTTGTTGAGTTTTTTTTTGTGAAACTAGTTTCTTGATCTCTCATTTGTAGTACAAAATATGGAATGTTATGTGCCTCTTGATGAAACTGAATATTTTTGTATGACGTTATATGTTTTTGTATTCATTTTTACTGTACTACTATTAAGTGGTCATAGAGGTACCACTGATGATGCAAAATAAAGAATATTAAGCACATGCCTACGATTTTTATGAATTTTAAACAGTCCCCTACCTCACTAGGCAGTCCCCTGCCCTGCTTGAAGCGGTCCTCTGTTACATATAACAGTCCCCTGCTAAGAACTTTTAGAAAACAGCTAATATCGGAGAAAATAGCTATTTCTTCAATGGGCATTTTCGTGTTTTAGATGTATGTGTCGATTTCGTAGGCCTTAGATGGTGTTTCTTTGATATATATTGCTATAAAATCTCTGGACAGATTTGTATGGTGCGTTGACGAGTTTACAGAGAATCTCCCATACATGTTCGTCAGTAACTGACTTTTTCCTCAGACTTGTGCTGAACATAATCCGTTATAAAGTGATGATGGGGAAGCGCAGTCAACCTACTTGACGCCATTTTTTTTTTGTTTTAATTGCCCACCGCATAGGTAGAAATAAACACAAATATATCACCAACCTACGCTTTTAAACGCGATTCCCTTATCAGCATCGTTATCTGTGAATACGCTTGCATTAGTTTTACCTTGGATATCATATTATATCCGAAGTGTGAGTCATTCGCGATTCATTATTGTCGTAGTAGCATGGGAACGAAACTATGTACACACATGCAGAAAGTTACGGACTGGTGCTGTTTCCTCCATACTTCGCAGACTCATGTAAATGTTAGATTCCAGTTATTGTCTAGCGGTACTACCTCTCGACGACTACCATGACCATGTTTAACGTTATATTAGTCAAAGCGTATATAAAATGCCTTTTACATACAGTACGATGATTTTTAGACTTTGGTATTTAGGTACATAACAAAAATTTTAACCATCGTCTAAACCAGTGTTTCTCAAACTGAAAATGATAATTGATGACAATAGCTATACGTGTTATTGGAGAAAAGCCATTTCACGTTTTATATTTTTTTATTTCGTTTGGCAGCAGTTCAACTGACCGTGAAATCACACGCCGATGTTTTCATAAAGGTAACATCGCGCACACCTCGTACATATTTCCAAGCATGCCGCCTGCTCCCCCCCTCATACGCATAAATGTGCACGACTATTGTATCTAACGGGTCTGTAGTATTATCAGCGTCATAAGATTCTTAATAATGGAATGCCCTAAATTCCCAATTTCAAAACCCCAAAAAAATTCTGAAAATGAACAGGAGTGTCTGAAACGTTTTACCCATAACTCTGCCACTGGATTGGCTTTCAAAAAAATGTATTGGGTGGACAGGCAAGACGACGAAAATGAGTGACATGCCATGTAACATTCAAACATCTTTGCCAATTGCCGTGGAAAGTAGTACTGATGATACTTTCCATACTCTACATCCATTGACCGTTTTGATACTTTTTTCATTTTTCTGCTATTATATATTATATATCTAATATGGACGTACACGGTTATTACTTTGTGTTTTTGTTTTTATTGTCACAGCTTATGCTAAAACAGACTTTATCCTTGTGTTGTTAATCAGCATTTTCAAAATCCCTTTGCTTTCATGATAGGAACTTCATCATTTCAGTGGTACGGAAAATAGTATTTGCGCCTTCAGTAAAGCTAACGTAATTTAAGGAAAATCTGCTAAAGTATTAATGCCAGGTATGTGGTCCAGCACTTTATCACCAAGCTGATTGAACGGTCGCAACAAGACTGGAATTTAATTAAATCTACTCTCTATCGCTTTTAATAACCGGCCAACCGGCTTGGATTTCGATTTTTTCCCATGTCACCTGTATTAACCTACATTTTCAGCAGTATGATCTGAGACGCGTCATTAGTTCTCCGGGAAATAGTGCATTTATTTGTACAATTATATAGGTCTGTATATTTGCGAAAGTCGTATGTCTAACGATTATATTCCGTTACAGTTTAATATTAATGTTTCGTATAAAATCGGTAATAAGGCTTTTATTTATGTTGTATTTCATATCTCAGCGCAAAGCCAACTGAGGTGAATATCCAATGTCCTCAACTGTTTGATCAGTGTTACACATCGATGAAACAGATTACATGAAGCTTGTATTTAAATGATACTTGAATGATTCTAGTAACATTTCAAAGATGTTTAGCTGCATTTTTATGTCTGGACCTGAAAATGAAGAGAAAATTCTTCAGGGTACAATAGCGTCTTTGCTTATATCCAAGATACTTCGATTCAATTCATTAAATACTTCATCTAAGAACTTACAAAAGTTGTGCATTCTACCTATCGCCAAGTGCCAAGGTTGAAGAGGCTAGCGAAACGCATGGCATTGTAATGACGTTTTTTCCCATTGCCATTGATTATAGTACATACTTTCTGACCTGCCCTCGTAGTCACGTTTCCTCGTCAAAGCTAAATTTTTTTGTAATTATTCATTTATGATTCTGATGTGGCTAAATTAGGGATAGTGCCTTGTTGTAAATATTGATTTTGTCTCGAGTTCCCAAAAAAATCTAGATTTTTTCGAACATTCCAGAGAGTTTTTGCTGCGTGGTGTTACACAACGAAATACACGGAACTCGACATCGTTGGTTCTCCTATAAAATATATTATTTTGAATGAATGGATTCAAATCAAATTTTAAGCCTTGTGGCTACAACAGGTCATATCCAGGGCTTCAGGAATGCGTCCTGAGGGAGGACGTATACGTCCTAGGATTTAAAGGTAAAAACAATCCGCTAAGACTGCGTATCGGTGCCCTGCCTGTATAGTGAAGAATTGATGCTCACGTCTCGACGCCTTGGCAAAAATGTTCTATAACCCCTCTGGCAATACAAACCCTCCAAGGGCCTACCAGTGAGATAAAATGGTACTGAGATGTTTATGTGGTTAATTTCTGCTGTTACATGCCATGGAGATGTTTTGCTATTATCTTTCATTTTGATACTTGACTAAAAACATGATTTGTAATAAAATACTTCACTGGATATGGACCAGCAACACTCAGAATATTTAGAATTTCGAGTACTAAAAGAATATGGAACAATTCCTTATGTTTATCAACATGAAAGATAAGTTTCAAATGTTACATTATACGAGTACGGAACTTCACGAAACTTGCTACTGAAACAGTTAAAACTTTCCCGTTTTATAAAGGTGAACAATCATGAAACTTATTCTGTATTTGATGGATCGCATCACTGATGACTTAAGAAAATAACGTCAAGTAAATTGACTACTACACTTCCCACGAATCCAAAACGACTTGCAATACAATGTTAACTAAGCATAAGGGTATCAAAAGACTTGGTGTTCTCTATTAATACACTATTGGACTGAGAAAAAGGCAATAATGACCGTCCAGGTACATAGTAGCCTTATTTCTTTGGAGCTGGAGTGTAAGACTATTTGTCATAAATGTTTGATAACTGATTATGATAGCTCCTGATAAGTACTTTGAATCCTAATTGGATTGGAATTGGATGAAATGATAGGCATTTCATGACTTGTTTTGTTGCAGTTCTTGACAACTGACCATGAACATTACCCCCCAAAATCATGTAACCTAGTTAAATTTCACTCACAGCATATATCGTATAAATATCTATGCATGCAGCTGCATGTTTTTATGAATCACAAGCATGGACTTCTCACACCGACTAAGGCACCATGATAGCCGTATATCGTTTTATTATATCTGGTTATAGGCTTTCACCAGATACTTTCCAACTTATAGACAGGCCACGGATTAGCAGACACACAGGTCGACAGACAGACGGAAATAGTGACATGGTTTTTCGTAATGTAGATATCATATAACATCAAAAACACACAATGAGCCGTATTCATAAAACAAAGTATATCCTTGTACTTGCAAATTTTGAAGGAAATCTTCCAGATGGTATTTATAATAATTTGAAGTAAATGATTTTGCTTTTTGAGTATAAGCATATCCTTCAAAGCAGTGACATAAGTAAAAGGATATTCATAATCTTCACCTTATACTTGGCATAGGAAGCATATCCTTCAAAAATTCTGAGTGTGGTCAGTAGCAGACTCAACTTTGTAACGAAAGGTGTTCAAACGATGATGGCAGAAATTGAGGATGTTAGGCATGTTAAAACGTACAAACCTCGTTTATCTTCACTTGGTCGTGACTTTAAAAAATTATATCGGTTCGACGAAGCAAATGTACAATGGCTTGCGGACAGATTTTTAGTTGAGAATGAGGAAACTCGAGGAGGAGCACTTTCATGTATTCATAAAATGAAGATATGTCTACGCTATCTCGGTGACCCTGGATATCAACAAGGTATTGGAGTGTTAGTCAAGCAACGGTATCTCGGACTGTGGATAGAGTTGTGAACAGCATAGTTGCACTGTCGAACGAATGGATCAAGTTTCCAACTACCAACCACGAACTAATGGAGGCCAAGCGGATATGACAAAGCATGTATAAATTTCCGACAGCAATTGGTGTAATTGATTGTACACATATAGGAATACTGAAACCAAATCGCCATGGAGATGAGTATATCAACCAAAAAGGGAAACCTACTTTAAATGTGCAATCCACTTGTGATGCCAGAGAGATGTTCACAAGTGTTGATGTCAGTTGGCCTGGATCAGTGCATGATTCCAGAATATGGAGAAATTCACAGACTAGATCACAACTAATAAATAAAGCAAATGTTGTACTACTTGGGGATGACGATTATGGTATTGAGCCATGCTTTATGACTCCCTTCAGAAATCCTACTCCAGGTGCAGAAATAAATTATAACAAGCTTTTAAAACAAGAAAGAATTATAATTGAACGCTGTTTCGGCCCACTGAAACGATGGTTTCCTATCCTACAGTATTTTTGCCGCGTAAGGTTAAAAAATGTGCCGAAAATAATTATTGCTTGTATTGTACTCCATAATGTTGCGAAGATCTTGAGCGATCCTCACTTTGAGTTAGTTGAACAAGATCCAGATGAAGATGAAGGAAATCATGAGAATGACGAACTTCCTCTCCGCTAACTAGGTCAACAAATAAGAAGAAACTTGAGTATTATAATAAATAATTTTAATGATGAAAGTGTATTTATAAGTTATAATAAGTTTTATTTTCGTGAACATCATAAGTTATAGGTGGCTTCTGATGCTGCATCATTTCTAATTTAGTTTTATAATACTCTTATGGAAAATACTTGTTTGGTACTGCTGTAATAGCACTAGACGTTGCAGTTCTTTTGTAGTTAACCCTTTAGTTTCCTCAGTTTCGTATTCCTCTGTTGCTAATTTTCTTTTTGGTTCTTCTGAATTGCTGGCGCAGTAACAGTAACTGTTTGATCACTGCGCTCGGTATATAGTTCACTTCCTTCTTCTTGAACACTACCAACCTGAATGGCACCTCTAATTTTTCCAATTGTAGGATTACAGCCATAGCTTTCAGCAACTTTCTTTCCCAATCTAACAATTTAATTGCTTTATTACCAGTTTTTTTATATCTGCTTTTTTCTTCAACCTTGATTTCATGCTGTTGATTTTTTCATAAGCCTTTAGTATCTAATGGTGTACCAAATGCTGATTCGTATATTTCTTCGTCAAGGCATCGTCCTTTCTCATTTTTATTTTTGGAACTTGTGACTTTTGCAAAATAATGGGAGCAATGGCAATTTCATCTGTGATGAACTGCAGATCGTGGCTATTATTTTCTATAGCTTCCTCATCACTTGAGGATGACATGCTTATTAATTTGATAAACAACTGTATCCAGTAAAAATACGGAACGGTCTGTGTAAGCTCTGGAGTACAACTGTCAGTAATGCTAAGTGAACGAACTCCCACGTCAACTACAAGCTAGAACAATTCAGGACATGTCGCTGAAGATACAAATACCAGTCAACCTTTTACTTCTTCTTGGAGGATATCCTCGCGAGTATAAGGTAATCATTATGAATATGTAACCAAGGATATGCTTATTTTTCTCCGAAGCAAGGCCTTATACTTTTACCTGATGCTTCCGAGGATATGCTTCTCTTTTATGGATACGGCTCAATATCTCATCTTCGAAATCTTTCGCAGTTACAACACTTTATCGCCAGTGGCGTAGAAAGTAAAAGGAAGAAAATAAGGTTTGGAACATCTTCTACACCTTTTGATGCTGAAACAGCTCTTGTCACAACTCAATATTCTTTCTGCGGGGTCATAATTGGCCCTGGCTCAGTTTGATCAAGGTGACTTTTCTATGTTGATAGGTTTTTTCTTCATTTTTCAACTCCCTGTATTTCTTAGTCTTTGAGTGCTGATGTTTTTAGAAGCTCGGGTACTGATTTCCGCGCGACGTACTTTTTCTTGTAAATATTGCAAGCGTATTTTGAATTACTCTGAATATAGTTATACCGTGAATAGAAAAATCTGTACACGAATTTCCCATTATACAGTCATAAAATATATTCACCACATTTTATGTATGCTATAGGTAAACAATGAAACGGTCGAGTTTTAGGTTTACAGGTATTTTTTTAAATACCTATCCTATTCAGTTTCACTAATTGCAGGTTTATGAATTGAAGTTTTCATTTGTACGAGTCGTGCAAAACGCTGGTAATAAAAATTGGCGTTTAATTGGGTGCGATTTCATTTGAGCATAGTTGGGAGTTATTTTATACGACCTAGTGGTTTTCAAAATTAAAAAAATAAAATGTAGATGGCAGAAATGTATTTTAGAATAATCGGTTATAGGTCGTATCCATCAACTTCATTTAAATTTCTGTCCACAAATTATCATTCACAAAACAACGTTAAGTCAGTAACATGCAGTTCGTATAGTATTGTATTAAAAGTCATGTAATGTACTTTTATCATATTTTAGATAAAGTATAACTAAATTTGACAAATGTGATATGTCTTCAATTCAAACTGTTTTGGTAGAATAGCTGATAATAGTAAGTAGAGTAATATTACTGTGAAATACTTTACACTATTTTTTTTTGTACCTACCAAGATTGTTTCAATAAACAATTCTCGCAATAAGTTTAAGCTTACGCATTTCATATTTTCTCTAGCAGTAAATGGTAATTGTCTAGCTATTGAAAATCAGCCATTCAAGTCTAAATATAGAAAGTTACGCGCTTTGCTTCATTTATACCACAATGTTCTTATGCAATGGCTCAAAAATGCAATGCCAATACAAGTCTTTACGTGAGATGTTAGCTATTATTAATTTCATGCTGACCTTTCATATTGCTTCTTTTTGAATAAATATACATAACGCGTTTTAAGATATTGCTAAAGGCTTCTTAGACATACATATACATTCAAGATTAGAATTATTGTTATTAACACTTATAGGATCTTTTCACAGAAAAATAATCATTTGTACAGTAGATAGTGACGATGAAAAACTTGTTTGGCTCTTTCATAAAGTGAAAATGGTTGGAACGAGCAAAACTTGAAAGGCACCTCACGTGAAGTGAGGCAGTGCAATAATATCAAGTCCAATTAGAAGTAGATTTGGATGTTGCAAGATGCGTGGTTAATTCGAAGCTCAATTATTATGGAAGGGTGCTCCACACCTAGGATCTACCTCATGTCGTCAGTTTAACTATAATTAATTAAATTAACCACTCAACTCTCAGCATCCACATCATCCCTAAGCCGACCTGACTATTACTGCAACACCTCATGTCACCCTTCTAGCAAGGTTGAGTACAGCCTTGAATCCCAGCTCGTTAACATTATGAGGATCCAAAGTGGTGAGCCACAGTATGGTCTGACTGTAGTAGCTCAGAGCCTTGCAGCGACACAGAACATGAGCCGCGGACTCTTCCTCTACCCCGCAGCGCCCACACATGGGAACCTCAGGCATCATATGCAGGTGATAATCGTCCCACCGACAACCTTAGGTTGGATCTATCCAAAGATAAGCAAAAGCGTCCATTGCGATATTTAGGGGTGATCAGATCACCCCTGCTCAGAAGAACAGGAGCCTTCCTTTGCAGTTTGACAAAGATGGCAGTGTAACCCTTGACAGAACTCAAAAAGGACCAGCTGCCCTGACTCCACAGTCGACGTGTGATTACTCTCGCCTCTCCGCAGATCACACCATCAGGATTAGCGACAGGTCAGCTGAAACATTAGGCGAATGTTTTCAGTTCCCCTGACATTTGAAGAATGGAGAGTAGCTAACAATAACGCAAACGAAACAGTTATAAGTTTATTAATTTTGGAGTGAATATATTGGTTCTAGAGCATTCCGAATTGGTTGGTTTTAGTGACCAAACGTATATTTATAAGGTGGTGTTTTAATAAATTTCAATGTGTAATAGTATAATACAGTGGTGGTTTTGAACGTGCGTCAAGTGATGAAATGATAAAGTCTTCAAAGTGAGTAGTGTTACTGGAATCCATCATCAAATGTTTGATATAGTGACTGAGAGAATCATGAAGAAGCTGCAGTCTGCAAAGTCCGGACCTGTAAACATCATAATCTTAGTCATAATGCACTCGATACCAAATCGTAATTAAAAACTTGTGAGAATTAACACAGGAAACAACAATGGTGTTCGATTTTAATTGATCCATTGTTCTTATCTAAAAAATATTGGCAAGAATCATGAAAATACAATAGGAGCACAACAGGTGCATACATCTTAGAAATGAGTTCGATACTTTATGACATTGGTAAATTGGTATAACATACATAATATACGTGAAAGGCTAAACACAGATAAAGATGGTCTTACTTCGAGCACCTCTTCTATCATACGGGTGAGTACAATAATTCTGTATATTTTTGTACCTTGTTCTTACTACAAATATACAAGTGAGGCGTTTCGCTTTATTCAGGCATAGCTAGACTGACATTGAGTGGCTACTCAGAATACTGAGTGTTTCTTACTAAACGTCGGAGGGTGATTCGTTAGGTCATTCCAAGAGAAAAAGTTCTGCGGAACATATCCGCAGTTGTTTCTTTTCTGAGATTTTTTGCGAAAACGAATTTTATTTTTTGTAATTTTGTATATTTGTAGATTAAGCAACTAAAAACACAACTTTTGGTCTGCTTCTTTATATCCGGCTTCGCTTACGAAAAAAAAAATAAAAGACACTTTAACTGGATTCGAAGAAAACAGGAGAGATCAAAAATTGTAGCATTAGTTGCTTGACAAAAAATAAAATAAAAACTACAGAAAAGTCATTGTCGCACTTTTTACTCAATAGTATGGCTGTGGTGGCCACTGATACGCCACTGGGCATAATTATTGTTTCAATCTACTTAGAGCCCTCTTTACTTCAAATAATTACATCAAATTTAAACCAAATTGGTTTAAGGATATTTTTTTAAACTTCGCGCCCTGTATCTCAGAACCGAAGCAACTCCGGACATGTTCATAGGAACTTTTCTTTAAAACAACCTAATGCATGAATAAATAGTCAGTGTGTGCTTTTTCCGGCAATTTCATTGTAAAACGTCGTACTACCCAATATTAGAAACCATACTTGTATTTAGCAATCATTGTTTGGTCTTGAAAATCGTTCACTAATTCTGTCATCATTTATCATCCATTATTAGTTCATCGCACCCATTACGAATCACAGATTCACTCCTTATTTATCTTATCTTCTGTAAAAAGGGTTTAAGATAGATGTTTACAAAATTAATTAGACAAAAAACTTGATATGATGAATCATAAATTCTAATTAGATTACTCAAACCAAAATACTCCCAAACAACAGCAAAGATAAAATATGAAATAACAGGAAGCGATAAGTCGTACACGAAGGTTTTTGTCTGCAGATATTGGCTTGGGAAAAGTCACAGCTCAAAAAGCTGCTAAAAGGAAATCGATTGCAAAAGATTGAGCAGAATGACAAAACATTCAGGTATAATCCACCGTACAAACAAGCCAAAACAAACGCAAGAACAAATATTCCTAAAATGTGTCAACTAGTGATATTTGTTAACTAAACTTGGGTAAGTTAGGATTAACTCGGTTGCCGCCATTTTCGAAAACTACTTAACCAGTATAAAAGCTATGAGCCTGATTCTTAACGGGTGAAGATATTATAAGCTCAACGACGACGGCAACTTACAGACAAAACATGGAAAATAGAGTGAGCGAAGGAACAATCAGCTGTTAGAGGAGAAAAAAGAAGAGTGACAATATTAGTTAATTGAAATAAGTAATTTTGGCATCTTCAGCAGGTGTAGAAAAATGTTTTCTCCTTTTGGTTTAATTCAAAGTAAGCTACGTAATAAACTGGGTACTGAAAAGACATCGAAATTAGTTTTTCGTTTAAAATATTTAATATATCTTCAAATAATGGAAATGACTGAAAGGGAAATTATGTCAGTAAAATATATTACTAATTTCTCTATTAGATTTTATCTCAAGTTTTAGTTTAACTTAATCCTTTTCGTTTATTCATTTTCACGGATGAATACCAATAAAAAAGCTGTACAATATGTTGCCTTTAAACATGATCTGTTTTACCAATTTTCACAGAACATGCTTTCCACCTACCAGATAATGCTATTCACCTGCTACATATTGATTAACTTGTGGAAAACTGTTTTTTTGCAGAGTGTCCAAGATAAATTATGTCTAAAAGCACTACACAATTATACATTTTTTCAATTTCGATTAGTTTCAGTCAATACTTGAACGCAAATTGTTTAAACTAAATTAATCTGGTCTTTATTTTTTTTAAAACCTGGGTTTTTACCAACCCTGATTGAAGCGCAGGGGCGCAACTGCACCAACAAGCTCTTCTGGGTCCATTAATCGTTGGAACAAGAGGCCCCACGAAGGACTTGCAATGGCAGAAAAAGTTTGATTTCAACTAGCTACACCATGATTGAAAACGCATGGATTTATCCTTAAATCGTAAATCTCCAACACAAATTAGTCAGTGCGTCATGCAGATTTGTGCATCAGACATAATGGATCAACAGCGCCTACGATTTCTGGCTTCGCATTGTTAATGTGAGTGGACGGGTAACGGGCAGTAGAGGCAGCAGCAGAATAAATAATAAGGTGCAAGTCTAAAAATAAAACAATATACGCAGTGCTTTGACCTCAAGGATGATCTACACTCACTTCTGAACGTGTCGTGTAATCACTGTGTTCGGGTGATCACCCTGGCGATTACAAACATCCCGGTAATAAGTAATTATTTGCTAACACTGAAGCTACTGTTTAACACAAAAAATACTATTACAGTTTGTGATTACGTCCGATCATTTTCAGAAACTAAACGAAAACTTTTAGCATTAACCTGCAGGCTCACCGAGGTCGCCTGTTGAGGTAGTCGCCAATTTTTTCTGAAACGTCAAAGTGATTTTTCTTATATTTATATAGTAGCAACCTAGTGAGATAGATAGAATACTTTATTTGCCCTTTTGATCATTAGGAAAATGGATCAGTCATGGCTGATAAAATTTACACTTCACTAAGCATAGGAAAACGTCCCTTGCTATGTTTGTCCTATAGAAAAATGACACATGTACAATAATTAAAGCATATTATCGCAGCACATTAAAGTTAAAATACGTTAATATTCAGTATAAAAAGAAAATAGTTATTTTTTGCTACTGCATTAGCAAGAACATCACCTATAAGGAATAAGATGTGAAGAAGACCTTTTATTATTATTATTATTTCGAATGATTATGAATGTGCAATTTCAAAATTTTCTGCGATTACAGTACTTCCTCACCAGTTTTGACATAGGAAGTAAAAAAAAGAAAGTCAAGTAGTCTTGCGGAAACTTAGATGAAAAACAAAGGGTAATCTTGGGTATGTCCGCAATAAAGGAAGAGGAGCAGAAGTAGAAGGATTGGTAACCCGAGTGATGTACGGTTCTGCTTATTGGCTCCATCATGTTCAAATCGATGTGCATCGAAAACACCGAAGTGACAACATATGTCCATTACATCTGTATATGGGTGTAACCTAAACGAAAACAATGATGGAACGGGAAATAGCATAAGTAGCCACCAACAAGAAACAGCAGACTCATTTGTAGCTTCGGTCAGTGGACCTCTCGAATTTGCGAAGTATCAACCAACTTCGCCACGGAGACTATCTATAACTACCTACCCTAGTACTTCAAGCCCATGAGTAAATACTAAGAAGACAAATAGTCATGGGCAGTAAAAACCACGTCAGGTAATAATAGCTGGCCTCCGTGGCGACGTTGGTTGATACCTCATAAACAGGAGGTCTACTGACCAATGCGCCTGCTGACTCTTGTTGGTGGCTTCTAGTTGTATTTCCCTTTCCATCGTTGTTTTCCTTCAGGTTACACCCGCAACCAGATGTGATGGGCCTATGTTTTCACTCCGGTGTTTTCCACTCACATCCATTTGGGCTATCAATCCTTCTCAGGTACAAATTCTCAATACTCTGGTACTCAAAACGGAAGAGAATAGCATAGCACATCGTACACAACTGCGTTATTCCTTCCTAGACAAAGTCGATGCGCGTGTATCCCGCCATACACATAAACACGCCGCATTATATTTGTAAGATTTTTCAGTATCCATCGGATACCAAAATTAATTTGACATCAAAATAGTGGCGGCATTAAGCGCTATAGTGCTTTTGGGTCCTGGACGCTTGCAATGTTATTGGTTGTTGATTTATAGATAAGCATCCTAAAAGTAGGCAACCTGAATAACCAGGATCTACAAAACATAAGACATTTTAAATTTTTCAAATTCCAGCCCTGGCAACAAATTATTTCTGGATTCACCTCAAGATGAGTAGGGCGTTAAAAAACGTTTAAAAAGGTATGGATTTAATATGAATACTGCGTGTTCAGAGATTCTTTAACTGGTAACTGCCATTAGGTGAATGGTGAGACCTAGAATGAATGTGGATTGAAAACTGCGATATTAGGCTCACTAAAATATTTCTCCGTAATTAATCTGTGATGTGAACAAAGTATTCATTAAGAAAAGACAGGGGAAAAAGAACATACATTATATCCGATTGATGCTATACAACGAACTGATTACTTATATTACGTTATTAAAAATATTGTCCTTAATACACATAGATACAGTGATAAATATAAAATCCTCCCTGATTCTGTTCTGACCCAGCATTCAAATCCTAAATAAAGCGTTCCACAGACACCACTAGCGCTTTGTTACAATAATATACTCAACCGTTTCCAAGATTATTTCGGTGATAAATACTTTGAGAAAAACGAAACTGCAGCTTGATTTTAAAGAGTATGATTCACTATGTACCTGTGTCACAGATATCTGATGGGTTTGCAAATTGAAACAAACAGGTGGGTCGAAATACGGAGTTCCTTAAGGAGTCATGCACCTGACAATAGAAAATTCTGATAAACCTTATTCTGAAGCACCCCCCCCCCCTCTTTTAGAGGATAACGCATCCCTCCGGTAAGTATACCCTTCAGGAAATGAAATGTTCTCTCATTGTTTTCAATACATAATTTAATTGTTTATCGCTGACCAAAAATATCTCTTTTGAACATTTAAATTAAATATGTTTGAGACATCTGGGAGGAGAGTACTGGGTAAACATCCCTTCAGCTCTTATATGGCTTTACGTAACGGGTCACCAGAGCTCATCTATACCTCGATGTGTGTATGATATTTTTCAAATTTAAGGTCCCAAAGTACATGGTGACTTGATTCGAAATGTTAAAAACCATATAAACACGGACAATGGAATAATAGAAATGATATAGGTAAGTATTAAAAATCAGAAAGTCAAAGTATTTTTGAATTTCATTTTTATTTTCCGAAAGCCACACTTTTATTTCTGTTCCAGAAAAGGTTCTGTGACACCGCACCGGTTCTTGTAGGTACCACTGGTACCACCAGACCAACGGCCATTGTTCGAACTGGCAGTGGCGGCCATCCACCATCCTTGTCTCTTTCACCTGCCGTACACCTTACCTTGAGTCGAAGAAGCAACAGCCAGCGCCATCAGCAAGGTCCACGAACGTCCCATCTTCGATCTGTCTTTTCAAAGTCCGTCACAGAATGTCACAAAAATCACAAACTATTCACTGACAAACAAAAACCGGCGGCAAAAAAAGTAATTCTCTCACTCACTTCAAACAGGTGGGATTGTGAACAGCGGCGCGGCGCGTCTCGGTCGGTAACCTGTTTTATCGCGGCAGGCTGGGAAGCAAGACAATCGCTACACGCAGACACAGCCAACTGCCGACTGCGTTCGGAAAACGGACAAGCGGGAAGCGGCCGCGCGCTACGGTAAACTTTTGCGCGGTTGCCAGGTGAGGATAAGGCAGGGAATCTGATATTGATTGTTATTGTTTTCAAGATAGGTCTTTTTTTTTAAATAAGCTTCTTTTAAAAAATCGTATTAAACCTTGAACAGATTTTGTTAAAATTTATATCTGTTAATGTTTGTACTTTGCGGTGTTTGGGTTGTATTTGATGTATTTTGCTCATGGGTACCAGGAGGGCCGTTGCCGTGACCTCTTCCTTCCCATAAAAATTTGGTTCGATCTTAAAATTTGCAAATTGCCCTCCTCCCCTGAGATATTTTGCTACCACTTCCAAAAATTTTGAGGCAGGTTCCACAAAAAGTTATATCTTGCCGACGAGAAGTATTACTGCGGGCGCCCGTGAACCCATGGTTATTGTTTATTGTTGTTATAGTTTATTTTTCGGTTATCTGAAATGCAGTTTTGTCGATACTCAGGAACCGAAACGGAAGAGAGTAGCAAAGCACATCGTACGCCACTGCCAATGTAGCGTGCCTTTATACATACAAAATCGGTGTGCGCGGATCCCGCCCATAGACGTTAGCAGTGAGGTGTATGGTGGGTCTTGCTACTCCTTTCCGTTTTGGGGCCAGACTATATGTAGAGGATACCCTACTTGATTTCTCATTTTTCAATTTCAACAAATTTTAACAAAACCGGCTTAGGTTATTACGACTTTAAGGCTAAGATGAAAAAAGT